AAACATCTTTTAAATTATTTCTCAAAAAATATTTCTAACCACTAATATTTGCATACTAATGTTTTATTTTTTAGAAGAGGGTGTTTGGTAAGAACGATTTATTTTAATAATTTATTGTTATTTTAAAATCATCACAAATTCTAACAATGTCATCTGGTTTTAACATAGGTGCATTTCGAGTTACCAGCTTACTATTGTCAATAGGAACCAAAATATAACTTTTAACTTAATACTCTATTTTGGTTTCAACTTTACCTTTTCATGCTAAAGGAATAGACTTAAGTATTATGAATTTGGCATCTCTCCATTTTAGACATTTAATGCAATTTTGCATTTATTTGAATATTTTCTTTCTTAGTAGGTACTAACCTACAATATATTACAATAATGGTCCATTTCTTTTTTAGAATATTTTTGTTTGCTTATAATACAATTTACATTTCTATAATTATGAATATTAAACATAGCATTACAAATTTTAACATTTTTATAACATTTCAAACTATTTGAGGAGGATCACAATTGTATTTTACATAAAGGCAGATAGTACCCGCATATTTTGTTTTTATACTCCAAATTTACAAATATTTTACTTATCGGTTTAATATCATTGCCAATGTAATCGAGGATAGAATATTCTTTTTTTAAATTGTAAATGACTAAACAGTTGATGAATAATCTTTTTTAAATTATGAATCTTGTTTACAAGTATCAATTTTGAGATTTACATTTTTATTTTGAATTTTGAATTTACTGTAAACTGGATCACAGCTCTATTTTGAGAATTTTGATCGATTATAAAAAATAAAGTATTTTGAAAACCATAAATAACTAATTCGTCGTTAACATCGTTATTAGACAAACATTTATTTTGTATTTTAGTGATTACATTCTTTCACATTTCAGACAGTAGACAAATTATTATTTTTACTACAGTTCTGCATGCAGTATTTTTTTACATGATTGAAACCGAAATCCATAAACCTAATGGCGAATTTCATCTTTGAAGCGTTGTAATTCATTCTCTACATTATCAGTGTGCTAGATGAACATAAACTTAATAGTAATTTATGAATTTTTTGCAGTCCAAATAAGATAATAATCTAAATATGGTTCTCTTTTGAATTTTGTTTTCGATTGAAGAAAAAGTTTGTCAATTTTTATCTAAAAATATATCATAACTGTTTCGAACATGTCTGGTGATCCAATAAGCTTGATTGAAGTTAGTTTTTAGTTAGTTTTTATTTTTGAGTTTATCTTAGGAATTGTCATTTTATATCAGTATGAATAAACACTCGACATTCAAAACCCCTAATACAATTTGGGTAAGTAATGAAAAGTCACTTCATTTTCCAACACAATTAATATTTTCCTCGTTTTCAATTTATAATGCATACTTAAATGTAGAGAGCCTTAATATATTAATAGATACTGGGCGACTGGCGTGATAGCTTAGTGGTTTTCAACTTGTGCGTCCCTGGGACTTCATCGATTATTCTCAAGGGAGTCGCGTCTGCAGTAGAAACTAAAAATAAAATTGCTATATATTTTTTTCACATAAATATTGCATGGATAAATCTATTCTACTGGAAGTTTTTATCTGACAAAAGCAAGTTTTTGTTACCTTTTTTTCGCGGCCATGTTAGTCCACGCGCTTGATATAATATTATGTTGTATGTGTACTTGCGTGCGTGAGTGCGCGTGTGTGTGAGACAGATCGCCAAGCGATGACCGTGAAACCAGGCCTATTTATGTTTTTTACGATATCGAGTAAAGGCGACGTAAATAGTTCAATAGCATATTAAATATTAACCATTCAAAAAATGCCAGTCTTTTTTAAATTTAAAAAGCGTAGACAAGTTATGTATTGTTATAATATAATAAACCATCAAAATTATAAAAATATAAAATAAATTTGCTTACTGCATACCATTAACTGAAATATTTATATAATATGATGTACCTTAACTATCCATGTAGGTATATCTTAATTTTTATTACATAAATGTAACATAAAATATGAATACTGGTATTGTTTAAATATGCAACAAAACCATGTAAATAATAAATAATAAAACATAAGTATGCAATCATAATTATATAACATTAAAATTAAATTTGTGGTGTTAAAATAATCGACAAATATTATTGTATGAACATTGGTCAACATAAAAATTGAGCGACTAATGGCGTCCATTATCAATTGCACTATAGCAGCCATACCGTATAAAATGCCACTCTCTTATTAAGGTGAAAGATTGTAGGCTCTCTACAATAAGGATAAATTAATTAAAATATATTTTAAATGTATAGACCTATAAACTATAGTACCTATAGTGATGTAAAATCATAGGTAATTTATTTCTTTACTACTTTCTACAGTAAATTATCGATAATATTACTTTTAATTTTAAATAAGTATTGGGAAATTAATTTTTTTAATAGAAAAAACTTATTTGAGTAAACTATCGGTAATATTACGTTTGAATAGTATTATTGAGATATTATTTTTCAATACCAAATCAAAAAAAAAAAAATGTATTAGAAAATACTAGACAAAAATTTAGTGTAGCCCCTATTTTTGTTTTTTTTTTGTTTTAGATCCCTATGTATTACGAGTTAAGTACGATGGTGCAAAAAATTAATTTGCGGAAATCACTTGTTTCTATAAGTTATAGCCTACGACGTTCATGATTTTAGTTGTTTTACGCATACCTACGCACTACGCTGTAGTTTACTGCGTTTATTACGTATATTGGCGTTCTTATTTATTTTAAGCTTTATAATATGTACTTAAACAAGTTCAGAACGATGGTGAAATCAGAATTTGTTAGCCTCACTTAGATATTTGGAGTTATAGCCAAAAGAAGTTTCAAATTCTGCTTTTTTGCGCAATTTCACAACGGGTTAAAATGCACTTTACCATGCGCCAGTAGGATTAAAAAAAATTTTTTTAAAACTTATTTTTCAAAGCTGATTTTGAAACTATTTCAGGAAACTATTATTTAGGAAGTTATAGACTTTTGAAATTAACAATTTTACGTTTATACTCATGCGCGGAACACTACTTCAATGCCATGACCTCGAGTTTGGAGACCGAGGCGATCCGGTGGAGAGAGCCACTATAATTGTGTCAATTTAATTGACAAGGTTAAATTTACTTGTTACCCTATTTTTACCCTGAGTAATTGGCAAAATATATGCTTTTAAAATCATGTTAACTACAGAATTAAGACCCTCTGGATGAGTTTTTTCAGTTGTGGTTAGTTCTTAATGACACTGTCAACGTGAAGAATGTAGTCTAGTCTGCAGAGTCGTAATGTGGCACTTAATCGGAATTGGAATGCAGGGCTGTGACTGATACTGTTTTTTTTTAAATAAATAAATACATTACATTTTTTTTTGTTTTATAGAAAGTGAAATTGTTTTTACATTGCGACCTATTCCTAAAAACTATTGATTTTCAATAATTTATTTTCGCACCATAATTTCTAAGACTTCGATTTACTTATTTTTTTAAAAAAAATAATTTAAAAATTCGTTATAAGCGTGGTAAAATAAAACTCTGTACTCATCCGTAAACACCAAATATCGTGAACTTCAAAAGGCAATAACTTAAAAACTAATGTTTTCACCAATTCATTTTTGCACCATCAATCTAAACTTGTTGAAACAGTTTTCCGAAAAAAAAATAAGTGGACTAACTAACTAGATCAGGGATGGGCAACTCAAAGTTACTAGAGGGCCAATTTTTAGAAATTTAAAATCTAGCGGGCCAGAGTATAGAAAGCAAAAAAAAAAAGGTCATTTAAAATATACATTTTAATTAGCATTTATTTTGTTTATAATGAAATAGGTAATACAAAAAGCGTTATTGAAAATAATTTAATTAAATATTTAAATATAAATAGTTATTTGCAGTTTAGTGAGAGTTTTGAGGATGTGTGGCTTCTAATGACAACGCGGCGAAATCGACTTGTATACCTATACTTAATACAATAATTTGAAAATGTAGCGCGGGAAAGATGAAAAAGGCTCACGGGCCGCCAGTTGCCCACCCCTGAACTAAATTGTTCAATGTAGGTAAACTATTCTAAACTACAATTTTCTTTAAAAAAATTCATACTAATTATGTTTATTTTGATTTTCGGTTCTATTGTATATAATGCATTGAAATATTTTAATTAAAAAAGCAATAAGTAGATATGAAAATATTTAGTATTAGTAGGTATGTGCAAATTAAAAATAATTAATTACTTGTAAAGTGGAAAGCAAATTTATATTTATTACAGATAAATTACTTACTTTATAATAGTAACGTTACTAATTATTATGATATAATAAAAATAATATGATAAGTGTAAGTGTTAAATGTCTTCTTATGATTATTTTTACCTAGTTGTAATATTTTACCTTTATGTGTTCTTGTTTCTTATAATTATTTCTTATATTTTTAATGTTAAATTTATTTTTATATGATATTATGTAATTAATTCTACCACTTTATAACTCTCTTTCTCCAACACAAGCGTAAGCTTACAGGAGAAAGATAAATCATTGTAATGTTTTATTTAATATGTTATCTTGTTAAATATTATTTTTTTTCTGATTAAAAAAAAAAAAAAAATAATACTTTTCCAGAGTAATATTACCGATTTATACACTCGGGCTATACCTTTTAGTTGATCACCCATTTTATAGTCCATTGTTACACATACTACGGTGTACACGAAGGATTGAAACCATGAAATAAAAAAAGACAGCAATAAAATTTGAAAAAAAATCATGGAATAATAAATCACACAAATGCACATTCAAGCATTATTATCATAGAATTATAATTTTCGCGCTATAAAGCGGACACATTCTATCGAATCGGTGGGGGAAGTTGTCTAACCTTTGATAAAATAACCTGTTGTTTTGGCGAGTTGTGGCCTTATCTCAAGACCACATGAGCACATTTCTTAGATATTCGCTTCACAACATAGGAGATCCATGTAATTTTGATCTTGTCACTAGCATACCTTGTAATTATTAATCTTATTCCACGAATTTAAGTTGTAACTGAATGTCTGATTGTGTCTATCAGCCGTCGTTTGTTTCAGGTTTCTTAAAGGTTAGGCTAGCATAGTATAATTCATTGATAGAAACTTAGAAAGAGTATAATATTATACCTACACGTTAATAATTATGTTCGACCCAAATGCGCATGATGAATTTGGCTTCAACGATATAACTATTCGCAGAAACTTCTTATGGTAAATATAAACTATTTGTTAATAATAAATTATTACAGGAAGTTAGAAATGTTATAATATTTATATATTATTATTTTTTATTCTTTCAGTAAAGTTTTCAGCATTTATATATGCCAACTACTAATGGCATTAGCATTTGTGACTGTGGCAATTTTCCACGATCCTACAAGACTTTATGTACAATCACATCCTAGTCTTAGTATCATCGCAAGTTTTATAACTTTAAGTATTTTAATAGCACTCGCATGCAGTGAAAATTTACGCCGCAAGAGTCCTAACAACTTTATTTTCTTGTTTATGGTGACCGTTGCATTATCATTTTTACTAGCAACATCTGTGTCTCATTACTATCCCAATCAAGTACTTTTGGCTCTCTGCTTGGCTACATTGATATGTTTTGCTCTTACAATGTTTGCTTTACAAACTAAGATAGATTTTACAGTCATGGGTGGTTTCTTAATGATATTTGTAATAGTCTTACTGGTTGCATCTATCATTACTTTATTTTTCCCTGGAACAATTATGTCACTCATAGTTGCATTTGCAGGGGTGATAATATATTGCTTATATCTCATTTATGACATCCAAATGGTGGTTGGCGGTGACCATGAGTATTCAATCTCTCCAGACGAATACATACTTGCAGCACTAACAATTTATATTGACATAGTAAACATGTTAATGAACATGTTAGCCATGATGGTAACAGACCATTAAAAATTTTAAATTATAAGACTTATGAATGTTTAAATAAAATAAAAGTTGTAGATTTTGGGTTTTATTTTTCTGAGAAAATATACCTAGCTTTGATAGTATTTACTATTAACACTTTTTTTAACTGAATATTTGTAAACGAATAATATTTAAAAATATTTAAATACTCCTGTTCAATAGTTAATCTTATTAAATACTTTGTGTGAAACAAACTTATATTTTAATGAGAATAATTGATTTTGTGAAAAAAATTTAAAAGAATTATTGTGTTTCATAAATGAGCATTTTTCAACATTATAACTTTTGTAATAATTTAAACATTATACTACTAAATAAAATAAACAAATTATAATTATGTTTGTACATATTGTTATACTTTGTTGCTGTCATATTGTAACCATTGGTGTCAATACCCATTTTTAATTAATTTAAATTTCCTCTATAATACTCGATATGTTAACTTAGATTATGGAATTAAATTTAATCTTATTAAATACTTTGTGTGAAATAAACTTAAATTTTAATGAGAATAATTGATTTTGTGAAAAAAATTTAAAAACGTAAAAGAATAATTGTATTTGATAAATGAGCATTCTTAAACATAGAACTTATGAAATAATTTAAACATTATACTACTAAATAATACAAACAAATTATAACTATATTTGTACATATTGTTATACTTTGTTTCTGTCGTATTGTAACCATTGGTGTCATTACACATTTTTAATTAATTTAAATTTCCTCCATAATACTCAATATGTTAACTTACATTATGGAATTTAATTTTATGATTATATCACATTAAAAAATAAGATAAGTGGTAATATACAATAATTATACTGATACATTTGTTATTTGTTAAGTATGTTTTGTATTAAATGATCTTGGAACGTTCAAGTAAAACTAAATATTTTGTTTTTAATATTTTATATCATTAATTTTTTGTCTGATTATTCAAATTTTAAAATGTATGATGCATATTGGTTTAAAGACAATAGGTATTTGATAAGTAGGTCATCTATATGGAAACTATTTAATATTACATAGGTACATTTGGGGTTTAACGAGTGAGTTGTGAATCTCTTGGAATTGTAAACAATACATTTTTCAAAATAAATAGTAAATTATTTATTAGTACATTAAATATTATGTTGAACCAATAAATTTCTTAAGTAACTAAAGACAAGGATTTTGAATTAATATATTATGTTAGTGTTAAGTTAGTGTAAATAGTTACCTATTATTCTACTAGGTAAATTAAGAAGTTATTATTAATTTATTAAGAAATTATTTAAAACACACTTATTACTTGTAGTGTTTACCTAACTTTTGGATGAATTTATTATTCACTGGTTTGGAACAATTTAATTCATAATGAAACTGATGAATAAAGATTTGGTCTTGCAGTTTTGTTTTACTCTATTCACTGGTCCAATTTCTTTTTATTTTTATTTAACTACATAGGTACATTTAGTTTCTAGCCTTAAATATTATGATAATACTGTTTGGCTCAATTTTAATTTGCATGGATGCAGTTGTTTTTCTTTCAGTAAACCAATTAAGGACAATTGACTGAATATTGAATACCATGGGCATGCCTATTTATTGATTTATTTTATAACATGGGATGTTCCCATTACATAAGATAGCAGCACAGTATAACAGTTTAACACAGTTTAACAAAAACTAAAGGTTTCATACTTGTACGAATTGTTCTTGTAAGCCTTTCCGAGCGAGCTAAATTACTCATTTGTCTTACCTATCACCGTCATAATCCTGGACAGATGCACAAAATCTAATACATTGATAAATTGTTGGTTGCCTTGGTAACACAGAACACAATTATTGAAACTTAAATAAGAATGATCATAAAACAATTAAAAAATAAAAATAATTAATTTTTTATACTGGATATTTCTGAATTCCATAATTCTAAATCCTGTATCAAATACAGGGTTCAAGATAATAATAATTAGAATAATGATACATAATTAAATATATTCACAGATAGGTGTATATATCGAAATCGTATTATTTATATTAGCTATAACATTTAAAATAAAATATAATATTTATATTTAAGACAAGGTATCTTAAATTGTCATAGAGAATCAATTATCAGTATACTCGATTGGTGTTTGATTACTCTTATCAGCCTTAACAAACGACACAAAGACAGCTCTGACCAACAGCAGACGCTGTCGAACCACCGACGTATTTAATACCGTAGGTAAGGAGGTACTAGGTAGTAGGTGCGCCCGATCACTGATATGATATAATCGGACACACGGTGAATTAGATCTCGTCGCGGACTACAATAGAAGTGGACGGTATGGGCTATGGAACTATTCAGCTACCTGGTGTCGGTCATATATTCAAAATAAATTCCACTCCACAGTTGACGGATCAAGATATATTATCATCATTTAGTATATATCTGTGCCGGAATCATATTATACCACCTTGGACGGAGCCTTGCCCATTTTGCCTGTGCAAACGATTGATGCACATATTATAATCGACGAGTCTCTGGATGAGAGTACGAGACCTGCAATTTACGAATGCGTAAGTACATTCATTGTTAATGAAAATCGTTGAAATGCGACACCCGTGTCCGTATCACACTCTAATTTATTATCAATAGTCGGACTACAGATATAAGACACATGTTTTTTAGTTAGTATCACAGTGTATACTTTGAATTGATAATCGTGGACTGTCCGGCGTCCCGGCGTACGACCGCGGTTACTGTTTAGTATCGTGGGACGACTCTTACAGTTCGCACGCTGTCTTTCTGTAATTATTATTAAAAATTTAAGTAATGAGTGCTAACGGTCTTAGCAATGCTAGTACACATATCCCACTGGCGTTCGACGCGGGATCTCATTCAATACGTTTTGGCTTCTGCAATAACAGTTCGCCAAACTCAGATATACCAGCCGTGGTCGGTGGCATGTTGGATGGCACGGAGTCGGTCGCACATATGAATCGTATAAAGCAGGGTTTAACGTATTATGTGAATACCAACACTTTATGTGTCCCACGTGAAGGTAAGTTTTAAAATAAATCTCTGACCAAATATTCAATTTCAAAAAATTTGGACGAAAAGTTCGAGCTCATTTTTCAAGTCCGACAAAAAGTCTGAAAAACAAATTATTTGACAAATACAATTTTAATTTTAAAAACATAATTAAAATATACATTTAATTTCCTTATAATTACTATATTTGGTTATTTTTCCTTATGCTTACAACTTCCAAATATAATTGTTTGTACAAAAATCTTAAAAAAAGACAGGACAAAAGTATAAGTCAATTACAAAAAGTTTAAATATTTAAAATACTGAGTGGGTATTCCATTCATAAAATGAAAATTATTGTTTTTATGTGATTAATAAACAACAGCTTTAGTAAGACTAGTGATAACCGACCTAAATCCGGATAGCCTATACCTACAGCTAAAATATTATAGAAAAATAAATATACCTATTGGTATGTATTTTTAAACAATTTTATTATATGAATCAAATAATTTATATTTTAAACTTTTTGTCTGATTTCTTGTACGATGATATAAAAATAAATCTGACTGTTTGTCCAACATTTTTCAAATCTGATATTTTAACCGATTACTTGTTAAAACAACTATTGATGAAGTCATGAGAAAATAGATTTTTTTATCTTTCAATTGATGTTTTCTTTTTAGGCATGGAACTTTTAAACATAATGGACAAAGGATTAATCCAACATTGGGATGCTTTTGAAAACCTTATGGATTATGCTTACTCGAAGTGTTTGTTCACTGATCCAAAGCTTCATCCTGTTGTATTTACTGAATCACCATCTAATACCAACAAACATAGAGAAAAACTAATGGAGTTGTTGTTTGAAAAATACAATGTACCAGCAATGATGATTTGTAAAAACGCTGCAGCAGCTGCTTTTTCTTGTGGGGAACAAACAGGTATTGTCATTGATAGTGGTGCTACACATACAACTGCCATCCCAGTACACGAAGGATATGTAATAACTGGTGCTATTGTCACTTCTCCCATGGGAGGAGATTTCATTCTCAAACGATGTGAACAACATTTGTATGTAAGTAACATCATAGCCCCTTGTATTTACCTATTTGTGTACCTAATATAATTTTTGTTTGACAATTTTTCATAGGAAAATAATATTGATGTGATTCCACATTATCTTATAGCTAAAAAACAATGGGTAAAAGCAAAAGAAACACCAATATGGTCAAGAAAAAATACACTACCTAAAGTTACAAACTCTTGGCATAACTACATGTGCAAATCAGTTCTTGAAGATTTTAAGCATACCGTGTTAGAAGTAGCCGAATCTCCATATAATGATGCTCTTTCATCAAATCTTCCAACTTGTCATTATGAGTTTCCAAATGGCTATAATCAAGTAATTATTTAAATCAATGATCGATAATTTTTAATTTATATACAAAAACAGTAAATTTAATATTTTTGTTTACCCAACTTAAAATATCATAATCAAATACTAAATGTTGATTTATTTTATGAAAAAACCATATTAATTGCTTATTAAAATAAAATTGGATTTAACAATAAATTAAACTTTTCAAGTAATACATTGTTAGGAAACATAAATCTTTTTTTGGTGTATATCAGGGGCAATAAGAAGTCCATTTGATAAGTGGCTAAAATATACAACATAAAATGTTAAAACTGAAAATTGCTTTAACTACCAACTTGATGGTCCTAATCAGTAGAACATCAACTTCAAGGAGGTATATGCTGATAAATTATAAATAATTCGTTTTTATATATTCTTACAAGTTGAACATGATGTCTGATTACTGCATACTGATATAATAAAAATATTAAAAGTATTAAACTATTGGTAACAATATTATTATTAAAGTCTTACATTATAAGATTTAATTTATAATACAAATAAGTTTAAAATAATGATTGTTTAATGGTAAACCATACAATATTTTATAATATTAATACAAAAGATCTTACACATTTTAGGAATTTGGCAGTGAAAGGTTCAAAATACCAGAATTGTTTTTCAATCCTAGTAATGAAGGAAGTAACTTAACAGCCCTGAGTGGAATTGTCCACCTTTGTGCAGCAATGTGTAGTGATACAATACTAGATGAATTATATGCCAATATCATAGTTACTGGTGGAAATTCTTTAATAAAAGTAAGTTATCAACATTTATACACCAAAACAATTGTTCATATCGTACTTATATCTATTTAAAGGGGTTTCCACGGAGATTACATACAGAAATTGCAACTAATTTAAGAAGTACATCTAGAGTGAAATTGACTGCACCAATAAATTCATGTAATAGGCGATTTGGTGCATGGATTGGTGGTTCATTATTAGCCACTACTGCTAAATTTAATCATTTGTGGTTCAGCAACAGCGATTATCATGCAAATGGCACAGATGAAATCAATCATAATTATCGTTATATTTAATATTTTTTTTTTATGTATTAATTAAATTATAATTTTTTTTTTTTTTTTTGAGAGGAAAAAACAGATTTTCTTCAAATTATTCTTAAATGCTAAAAATTATTGTAGTGGGAGCTACTAAAAACGATTTTGTCAAAATCCAATCTAAAAACATAAAAAATGATTTAAGGAGATATTGATATATCTAGAATGTGACAATATGCCTTTGAAATTTTTCATTAAATTTTCAATGTATTTATAATATTATGAATGTATTTTATTTAATTTCTTCAGACACTGATCATGTCTGATTACATAAATGTGTATATTTACTTTTGATACAACTTTTTACAAATACATATTATTTTTATAATTTCTTTTATATAATCACCTATATTTAAGTGAACATAATATATTCTATACATTCTATGTTAAATTATAATTCACGTTTTATGTTCATGTAATATACTACAATTTTTCCATGATTTTAATTTTTACTAAATTTAATGAAAAAATTATTTCAATCTCCAGGTGGTAATTACCTGGGCCACACACTATTGTGAAACTGTCAATTTTTTTAAAATAATAACTAAACATTTTATTAAAAATGTTTACTGTAAATTATATTATTTCTCTTTGTTGCATATTAGCTGTAGTAGCTTAGGCAATTTTATGTTAGAGTTAACTAAAGTATTTTGTGAAAGTTTATTGGCTGGTTTTTGTTTAAAATTATAAGTAATATAGCACAATGTGATTCAACACATAACAATTAAATTATTAGTCTTAGCACTCTTAACTACCATTAGAGATAATTTGCTTAACACCTTGAATACAATTTTAACTTGACATTATTTTCAATATTATTTTTCAAATTCAATTTCAAAATGTTAGTTATAATAAATATTTTATTTACTTAAGTTATTAAGTTAGTTAGACATTTAACTTACTTACTAGTTAAATAGTAAAGTTTAAAAAAAATTGAATCTCTATCTATGTAATGCCAACCTTAAGTTATTAGTATTGATTGGAAGTTACTGCTCTAAAAAGCTTTAACAATTAATTGTATTATTGGAGAAGAAAATATTGAAAATTGCTTTTTTTTAAATTTTTTATAAATGGTTTTATGAAATTCTAATGTTGTTGTTATTACATTTAGCTTATTTTTTATCAGAAAGTGATATTAGGTACAATCAAAAAAAAAAAAAATTAAAAAATGAAAAATGTAATCAAACTGGTTTTTATCTGGTCATTTAGGAACATGTATACAATTTTATCAAAATTTAAAAACTTTTCATTTAAACAATTTTTTTGTTTTATTTCATAATAAAAATGTATGTACCTTAATGAATCATTACTAGTTACACTAATTTCTAGGTTAGTAATTTTAACCTAATAACATTATAAAAAATCTAAATACCAATAATCTATAGGATGTCTAAAGGAAAACACAATTGTCAATCTTGATAATATTGTTATTCTTCAATAATTAACATTCTAATAATGATATTTTACTTGATCGCTGTCTTTTCCATCATAGTGTACCTATTTAAATAATTTATTTACCAACTTCCAGACTTAATAACAGTTAACAAAATATAAGTATACTCATTAGATAATAAATCCATGTAATAAATATACTTGAACAATAAAAGTTAGCTTTTTAACAAAAGTTATGAACAATCACTAAACATTTAACGGACCAATAGTGAGTTAATGATTCCTTAATAACACAGTTAAATGGTTTTATTGTTAAAGAAAAATTTGCTATGATGTATGATAGAGATAATACATGCAGGAATGGAATCCTCGTAAGAACTACATTTCATACTATTTAACCCAACTAAATTATAATACATCTTTATAAATAAACATAATACAAACATTAAATAGTAATAACTAGTAATTAGTAAATTAAAAGTAGTTAACTGTACCTAAAATTAATAAAAAATATTTATAAATATATGATATTTATAAATCTGTGTTTATGAGAAATAAGTTGTACAAATCAAATTTTATCAAAAAATGATGTAATCAATAAAAATACATGTGTACTACAATTTATGTGGTTGACATACTGGCAATATTGAATGTACTCTTTAGTCTGTATAATAAAACAATTTAATAAATTATAAAACTGCCAATAGTTTTTAAAACTAATTACTGATTTATAATTAAATTCAAAAAAAATAAATTAGTACATACTTATTTATTAATTATCTTTTTATTGTTGAAATATGATAAGTTAAAATGTAATTAGAAAATATTTGAGTATTATTATATTGTAGATTATTAAAAAAAATATTTATTACAGGATCTATGTATATATTATAATAGATATCGCATATAGTTTTTTTATAATGACTTCTAGGGTTTACTTGACAATCTTCATTTTTTTTTTGTCTCAAATGAATTATATTTCGTGGAGTTTTCAGTTGGTTCACACTTGACATTTTACAATATACACTGGTTTGTACTTCATTAATCAAGGTCTGAACCCACGTAAATATTGAAGGTGAATTTTTATAAAACGATTGATTGAAGTCGGAATGAAACGATTCACATGCATTTGTGGTTCTTGTCAATGCAGAAGTTGCTTCTGCCCATAACTTAGGGGGGAACGTACTTGTATTTAAAATGTAATTGTTCAATAAATATTGTGAATACGCTAGAACGCGATTATCAGATGGACACTGTGGCATAAAATCTTCCATAAAACAACTCATTACTTCACTTGGATTTAAAAATAATAAACCAAAGGTATTCCTTAACCACATACCAATATTACACTTATTTTTATACTCGGTAATTAGCCCTAGAGATTGAATTTGTCGATACCATGCTTGAGTCAAGTGAAATCGACAACCAACTACATTCATCCCAGGCCAAACTTCATAAATTGCATTTAGTATAGCTTTTTCAAAATCACTAGTTATATTAGTTGGTAAAAAAAGACGACCCATATTATCACACAATTCCGTTATTTTTTGCAACATATAAATGTAAGTCTCTGTTTTTTTGTCTGGCAGCAAACAAAATACAAGTGGTACATAATGCCCATTTTTGTACCCATGAATTGTATATATTTGAGTAAAAAATCTAGCACTGTATTGGAAAGTGCCATCCATGTATATAGTTTGGACATCACATAAGAATTTTAAGTTTTTTGCACATGAAAAAATCAAAACATTTTTAGAATCATCGTTTAATAATAAGAACGGTTCACCTTGCATTGTCAAAATGTTCATATCTCGTAAAGAGTCGTGTACAGATTGTATAGAAGTTGGATTAGCCGGAAGAATTTTTCGTCGGCTTTCATACATATTTTTTCGTACACGATCTACGTCTTTAACTGAAATATTAGTACATACGCTTTGTCCAATTTCCCGTAAAATTATTTTTTTGGGCCTCATACTTACATCTTCTACTGCTTTACGCTTACAGGCTGAATTGATAATTTGTCTGTCAATTAGACGTCTATCGATAGCACTATGATCTGCTGCATGACTTCCTTCAACCTTGACTAGTATGTAATTCGTTTTTGTAAAAATTTTAGCAGTACATTTTTTCTCGTAGCACCTCCACCGAGTAATGCCGTCTTTAGATGTATACGCATGTATAAATTTAAAATTTTTGTATATTAGCATAATATTACCGCGGTTACTGGTTATCACTTCAATATTGGGTATATTCTCCGACATTATAGAAACTTTTTTATAGAACGCGGCTTCAACTGACAGGTGCATACTGATAGCGAACAATAATCCGTCAATTATCCGCGGATATCGCTATAATAATAGCGCGTACATTGAATCAACACTATTTGATTTTGATGGATTCAGTTCAGGGGTTCTCAAAAAAAAATGTATTAATTTGTTTTGGCGGAAATCGGAATATAACCTTTGGCGGAAAACGGCCATGGTGATAACGGGCTAGGGTCAATTTGGCGGAAAACGGAAACCCCCG